TATTAATAATTAAAACATTATTTTTTGTTTGCTTTAATTTTGGGACAGAAATTATGAAGTAATTAATAAGCAATATTAAATTAGTATCTGACTAATGCAGGAATAGCAATATATTAGACTAATATTATCTAAATTGTTAACAAAATCTGTTAGTAACTTCCATACTTTTTAATTGTTCTGACAATTGCTTCATTACTTTGTGGCTTCATTTAGAAGTTAGAGAACTAATATTTGTAATAATTATGTAACTTCTGAAGAAGCCACAAAGTGGCGAAACAATTGCTAAACCAACAAAAGGGTGTGAATATTATAAAACACGTTTTAATTTAACTTTGAAATTAATTTCCCATTAAATACATGTAGATTCAATTACTTTACTTAATTGTTAATAACTGAAAAAGTTCATTGAACAGAAACACCATCGGAAAGATGCTGATGGGATAATTTGTTTTGCTTTTTTCTAACTTTGGTACTTATTAAAAAACTGTTTTATAATGTCAAGTACCTACCCTTAATGTCGTCCCAAGAGTTGCATGCGTCTGGAATCTCCTTTTTAAATATGAAAAGCTGGTGAATGCAGAGTACCAAGGATAATAGCTAGTATCATTTGAAAGGAACGCAATTGTATTTAAGGCGCTCGAATAGGTAAGCTGTCTCGCTCTTGCTAATGTCAAAACATCGTCTACTATTTGCGCTCTGTTTAAATCTGGAATACCGTCGAAATTATCTCTTTGTAGTCCTTGTGCTAATTGAGACCATAGCTCGTTGTCGTATGTCACTCGGTAATATCCTGCAGAAAATTATCGTTTAGTATATTAACTGTTTAACGAGAAAGCATAACTTTTATTACTGTAGATAGACTAAACAGTGAAACTATAGATAAAGACCTGAACAGTCTCTATTTCTTCTATTTAGATATTAGCTAAGAGGATTGGTATTCTGAACAAATTAGATTGGCATTAGCTAAGAAAATGTAGAGAACGTAATGTTAGTAAGAGACGTAAGACTTTTAAACAACTTGATGAAGCGGTTTAAACAATGTTAGGAGAGGAAAACTGCAAAACAGGTTTTCTGACTTGCAGTCAAATTTGGTGCAGCTATCTACTCTGATAATACAAAACTCGTAAACTAGGTGACTTTTAAAAGATCTAGTAAAAAGATTTGCTTCTAATTTAAAAATTTAGAAAAACAACACACTGTTCTAACAACAACAAAGAGTAAATTGTCACTTTGTCCACGGGCCATAAAGGGTGGGAAGTCCCCCGTAATAGACGTACACGCGAGAAAATACACCGACAGTAGAGTTACCAACTTTTGCTTCACAATATCGTCTATTGTTTTCAATGGAGGCTAGGGGCGTTTTGTATCCAGAGGGCCCTGGACTGCAGTTTACAAAGCCCATAAGTAGATCCGACCCTGTATTTATAGAATATTTGTACACATGGAAGTATGAGTACAGACGCCCTTTACTGAAATGTTCTGGAGTTGAAATAATTATTAAGGAATCAATGAAATAATTTTGTAACACAGATGGCGTTCGCTAGGCTCTCTGTAGCTATTTATTAAACGCTGTTTAATGACAGTAAGTGGAACAGGTCGATGTTCTTGTGTGTGGGAGCCATGTCTGACAGTTTCGACAGACTTAATGTTCAGTTACCTGTTTGTTGAAGATTAACAAGGACCCATCCAGATCTTCCCTGAAGAATATTAGAAATGGTTAAATTTTCTCTTGGTACCAACCAATAAGACGGTGTAGTATTGTTGAAATTGCGTTCAAGGGAAGTGGTGTAAGTGATGGGTACGTAATATTCATCCCTCGATGTTTGCGAAGAGTTTAGCAGAAATTGTTTCTAAAAGGTAATCCTTGCCTTAGAATGCGTCACTTAAAAAAGGTTTGTAAAAAAATTTACCTGCGTGATGACTACGTCATTGCCAGACAAAGACACTTTTACCACAGGGAAGCCTCCAAGGTCAGTCCAGCTGAGTAAAATGGCGGCTACCGATAATCTTGAAGGTAATGTTCCATTCGTCCACCTAGCGAACAATTGTCTGGCGGTTCCTGTTGCATATTGGCTAAAATTGTTACAAAAGGGCAAATCGTCACTTTATTCGATTAATTCAGTAATACATACTATGTCGATATATAGTCTATGAGACCTGATCTCCAGTTGTCGTATCCTAGAAAGTGTTTTGCCATTCTAATGATGGAGGCGCCTAGAATATCGTATGGATTTTACTAGTAGTTATTTAATAATTTGAAGTAGGTAATCCTTATCAATAAAATTATGAGAATTAAATTTTTCGTTAGGTACCTTTATCATAAGTAATTGTACTAAATTTATCTTCGATTTCGCTTGGTGAGGAACAATTTGAGCTAAGCGGTGGAGAGGAAGCTGATGCATCATTAGCGAGAGCGGTTTGTAATTGTTCCACTACAAATATTTTATCCAACTCCATTTCGGTTTCAACCTAAAATAATTTAGGATATTGGTGTGTAAGAGGTTATAGATCGTATGTTTAAGTTAGTTAGTCACATTTACGAAACGGGGATAGTCCCAGAGGATTATAAACGGAACCTACCTAAGAAAAGGGACGCGGATAGGTGCGAGAAATTTCGAACAATTAGCTTAACTTCCCATGCGTCAAAAATCTTAACTAGAATTGTACAGAGGAGGATGGAAAAAAGAGCGGAAGAACTATTAGGGGAAGATCAATTTGGGTTTAGAAGAAATAGAGGAACGCGGGAGGCCATTCTAGCATTAAGGGTAGCAATAGAGAAAACGATAGAAAAAAGAAAGACTGCGTACATAGGATTTGTAGATTTAGAGAAAGCTTTTGACAATGTTAAATGGGACAAGATGTTAAATATACTTAAAAATGTAGGGATGAATTACAAAGATAGAAGAGTGATACTTAGTTTGTATAAAGAGCAACAGGCAGTTATAGAGCTGGGGATGCAACGTAGAGAAGTAAATATTAGGAAGCGAGTCAGGCAGGGATGCACACTGTCACCGCTACTTTTTAATCTATACATCGAAGACGCCATTAACATCATTCAAGACAGTACAACTGTAGGGATAGACATGCAAAGGCAAAAGATTAGTATGCTTAGATTTGCAGATGATATAGCAGTATTAGCATCTAGCAAGGAGGACCTAGAGATAGCAGGATAACACTGTATGAAAATAAATAAAAGTAAAACTAAAATACTGATATGCAAGGAAAGAAAAAGTAGGGAAAGAGCGAATATAAAGATAGGAGACGAAAAACTAGAAGAAGTGGCTGATTTTAGATACCTAGGAAGTCAGATAAGTGAGGATGGAAGGAGTAGTAGGGATATAAAGCAGAGGATAGCGCAGGGTCGTGTCGCCTTTAATAAAAAGAAGTCACTTCT